CTAATAATGATCTGATCACCAGAATCGGGTGTTTGATTAAGGAGACATGCAAAACGTGCAGTTTTGGGGTGCCTCCAGGACCAGTGTTGGGAACCACTGCACTATTTTATATCATTAATTTCATTAAGGTGTGATTGTTTAATGTTTTCTGAAAGCCTATAAGCACAGACGAGGCGATGGACTCCCTCTCAGCAGGGTTTGTGTCTTCAGCTCCAGCTGCTCCCAAGAAGACAGATGAGGTGAGTATCTCGACAGCAGTTTGCTATCTATTTGCTTAAGTCAGGGTTTTTCAAAATGCACAGACCCCCAATTATAATGATCCCTTTACAGTCAAATTTTATTTAATTTTTTTTATTCCATGTATAAAGGCCCACTTATTCTCATTAAAAAAATTCATAAATATGTGTATATGGAAAATATATATATTTCTTAACATAAATGTTATATAGTTATTAAAATTATTATAAAAATAAGTTGACAATTTAAATAACAAATATTTTCTGCATACCCCTTTAGCGGCCTCTGGCTTAAAACATATTGGACTGTTTAGTTGTATATGCATAGTCTTGACTTAATGCAAAGTTTTGTTTCTTTGTATGATATTTATTCACTGTTTTTCAGAAAACTGAAACAGTAGGAGCAGTCGATGTTCGTTCGGCGGGCATCTCCAACTTTGCTCCCCCTCCACCCTATCAGGTAACAGCATTTTAAAGGGGTCATATGATGCGATTTCAAGTTTTCCTTTCTCTTTGGAGTGTTACAAGCTGATTGTGCATAGATAAGATCCCTGAAGTTGCAAAGATTAAAGTCTCAAAACCAAAGAGATATTCTTTATCAAAGTTAAGACTCTGCCACCCCCCACATATTCTGTTACACCAAATACACCAAATAATGATCTTTAAAAAAGCATCATATGACCCCTTTAAAACACTGCGACATTATTTAACCCTTTCCAAAACGAAACGTGTCTCTCTCATCTTAAGCAGAAACAACCGTCATCTCAGCCTGCTGCTGGAACCAAATCACCTGCTCCACCAGCTGACAAGAAAGCCAGGATCGAGACCCCTGCACAACCCACTAAACCAAAGACAGATCAGGTCAATAAAAAAAAACGTTTTCAACTTGATATTTGAATGAAATAATATTCTTTACATATTTTAAGGATTTAATATTTTAGATGAGTCAACATATTTTAATTCTAAATAAATTGAAATTGTGTCCATTTTCTCTTCCTCTTCCAGACGGACAGCTCCATGTCGCTGGACGCTCTCAGCGCTTTGGGTGATACACTGGGTGCTCCAGAACCACCCAAAAAATTACCTGAACTCAAGCCTGGGCAGATAGTTGATGTAACACTTCTGTTTATTCTTTCATAATTCTTATATTAGATTATAGTTTTCTATGTTTTTTAATCATTTACATGTTTTTGAGCAGGAGAAGAAATGGACATCAGAGAAGGGTGTTCGCGTCGGGGAGAGAGAAGACACACTCCCACCAGATTATAGATTCTCAGAGGAAGAGCTCATGAAATATCCTCCTCCTGAGAAAGAGGTCAGACACTGAATACAATATACTAAAAATTTCAAATTATTGTCTTCTATTAGTGTTAATTCTTATTCAATACTTTACATCTATTGAGAATGTTAACTTATGTGAGCAGAAATGAGTTTTAATAATGGTGTGTTGTGATGCTGCTGTCACTGGATGCTGTGTTCTGATCGGTGGATGTCTCTCTCAGCCCTCACTGAACACAGACGATGCACTGGACTTTCTTTCTGGAGGTTTCACGGAGCCCGCGGCAGCCCCTGTTGTTAAGGCCCCTGTTCCTCCTGCACAGGTAATAATTTATAATCATTTTCCTGAGAAATGTAAAGATGTTCCCAAGGTAGGACAGTCGTGGAGGCCTTACTGTGTTTATTTTGAGATAATGACTGGCTGACTGTACATTATATAACTTTTGGCTACTTACCAAATGAATAACTGGACATGAAATATTGATTTGATTTGAAATTGCTTTATTATGGGATAAAAACGTGACCGATACGAAAGACATTTGGGAAAATGATCAATAGTACAGTATAACATACATGACGGAAATATATTTAAAACAGAATGCAAAGATTAACCAAGTAATAATGCAGATAATTTTGTGTTAATGTTTCTCTTGAACAGATTAAGATGCTTTCTGTCTTTCTGATCTTCTTTTAGCCTAAAGTGGATGAATTATCAGCACTGGATGCTTTGGCAGGTGATTTTGTGGCTCCTGCACAGTCAGTGCCTAAGGTCAGTTTATTGCTCGATTCATATCTTTGCTATTATTGCACTCAGTCCAGTATTTCCTGTATTTGTTTTCACTCAGAAGATGATTTTTCTATTCTATTCCATTCTAATTCTTGTATGCTGTAGGTTTCTTCGGGGGCTCTTAAAACTGGCCCTCTGCAAACACCACAGAACGATGAGGTATTGCAAATACTAGACAAAAATTGTATTCACATAAGTCACAAAAATATATGAAATTGGTCATGTTAAGCATATCAGTGGTATTTATTGTGTTAGAACATCTTTTTGGACCCTACAGAGTTTTATTATCGCTCTATTTCTGTCCTGCTCTCTCATATGTGTAGGACGCTCTCAGTGCTCTGGGCGACACACTGGGTGCACCAGAGCCACCCAAAAAAGAAGCTGAACTCAAACCTGGGGACATCGTTCATGTAATAATTTTATACTACTTATGTTTTTGGTTTACAAATGTAAATGTGGCATAGGTGTCATTGCTACATTTCTTGATGTTTTTTTAAAATAATTGAATGTTTTTTGAACAGGAGAAGGATTTGACATCAAAGAAGGGAGTTCGTGTTGGAGAGAGAGAAGACACGCTCCCACCAGGTTACAGATTCTCAGAGGAAGAGCTCAAGAAATATCCTTCACCTAAGAAAGAGGTGATAACGCTGTCACATAGCATAACATGACACTGATCGTCATTAAGAAAGTCTCATGGATGTGTGTCATGATTGGTCACTGCTGATGGATCCTGTGATTTGATTGGTGGATGTTTCTTGTGTCCCAGCCCTCCTTAGACACTATTGAAGCTCTGGATATTCTGTCTGGTGATTTTATACCCCCTTCGGCTGGCAAGACCCCCGTTTGTCCTCCCTCTAAGTCTCCCGCTATGGTGAGATTCATGGATGTCCAAATAGGAAACAATAATCACAAGTCAAATCTATTTTATATCCCAGTTGTTTATCCAAGACAGCAATGAGATTAAATGTCTGTACACTACTGTGCAAAAATTTGGGGTTAAGATTTTATTTTTGTGAAATATTATTGCAATTTAAAATGTTTTAATTTGTTTTAAAATTCTAATGTGCTCATTTGGTGCTGAAGAAACCTTTTTTTTTTAATTATCAATTTTGAAAACAGTTGTGCTGCTTAATAATTGTTTTTTTTTTAGCCTTCAGATTCTGCTTCAGATTTGGCTTTAGATGCTCTTGCAGGTGATTTTGTCGCTCCTTCTTCTGCATCTAAAGTTCAGTCTGCCGTCTCTGGCCCCCCACACGCTGGCAGACAGGTAAATGTCTAATTTATCCATATTTACACACAATATACATTTTCTCACTTTGCTTCTATACTGACTTTCTCTTGTACTGTTTGTTGAAGTTGTCAGACGGTACCTCATCAGCTTTGGATGCCCTCTCAGACACTCTAGCAGACTTTAAAGCAGCCCCTGAGCCTGCCCCCGTCCCGCCTAAAGACGTTGTTAAGGTAACACTCGTTTTACTAACCCTTAGTAACCATATTTTGACCATTGATTGAAATGAAGCTGGAAAAACACCTTATTAATGAGTAAAATGTGAGAAGAACCACTAAACCTTGTGCTTCCTGCCATTGTGTGGTGCCTGCCACTCTGCATATCCTTACAAAGTATTCCAATATTAGGAAAAACTGGCTGAAGTTCATTTTAATCAAGGTTCCTAATTGTTTGTTTGGCAAAGATGCTCATTTTACATGCAAATATTTACATACGCTGCTTAAAGGTACAGCAGCAAAATCAATTTAACTCTATTTGAAGGAAAGGTGAAAAATGGTCATGCAAGATAAATTATGACAGTACTATATCCTGAAGTTCTCAGCACTTCTTTTCCCACCACAGGAAAAGAATATAGTTGAGGAGAGAGTGAATAAACCAGGTGAGAGAGACGACTCCCTTCCACCAGATCATCGGTTCAAAGAGGAAGACCGCAAGGTGACTTTCCTTTCTCCATCATGTTTCCATACCAGTGGATTTCATTTATAGACAATTTAAAACAAAAGATTTGAAAAATTTTACACTTATTCTTCGGTCTTCACCGCAGGCATTTGAAGCAGCAAAGCAGAAAGACGTCAAACCAAAGCCGGTACTTTATGAGAAAGATTATTTAATACAGATTTATATGTACCATTATAAGAAGTATTCATAACTTCAATAAACAAAAAAACAGCATTTCTATAATTTTGATCATTAAGAATCATTGTAGACATTTGACTGTCTCTGTCCATTTCGCAGACATCAATCGATGACACAGCAGCCCTTGACATGCTGTCTAGTGATTTTTCTGTAGTACCGCCCGTGAAGCCCTCAGCACCTGACGCCCAATGCTTCACCCCTGAACCACAACCGCCAACATTTAAGGTACCACAAACAAACCTGCCAAAGTAACATCCCTCTTTATTCTTTCTTCTTCAAAGTTCTTTACACAAATTCTGTGTTATATTTTTTTATTTGTCTTTGTTAACAGGCATCAGGTCCAGTTTTCGACGAGCTGGCGGAAAAAGTGATTCCCAACCTGACAGACCCCAAAGCCAAAGACAGCAAACCAAAGGTAAAAACCACATTTGACTTTCACATTTGTTTTCATATTATTCTTGTGAAGTCTAATATTTGAATAAAAAGACAAGGGAGATAATAAAAAGTAGGATAAAACTGTGCATGCCGATTCTGAAAGAGCAGCAGGTTTTTCCCCCCAGACCCTTCATACTGGTTCAAACCAGTTTATATCTGGGGTCTCTATCTTGATTACAGGGAAAGGCTGCAAAACCAAAGTCTAAACCAAAGTTAGGTTGTATTTGGAAATGAAATGCATGAATTTGGTTCTTATACTGTAGATTTGGCTCATGAACGGCAGCATGGAGAAACACTAACTCAAACGGAAAATCCCATTCAGTCACCATTCCATCGGCTGAAGCACAAACACATGGCTGTGTATGTTCTTATTCGCTGAAAACCTGGGGGACAGTTTGCGTTGTTTAAGCACTGTGGCTGGTCTGTTACTCAAACGCTTTGCATTTACAGCATACTGAATTCATTATTACTCCTAGTGTCCACATGGTGGTGCTCTGCTACAAAGCAACTTTCCTAATTCTCAACCACATGCTTGCATGAAATGATTGTATACTTGGTTTGCATATTTAAAATTCTGATTTTGTGTCCCAGAAACAGTCAGTAGAAGATTCATCAGCCACAGAGAAGCAGCCCGGTAAACTGAGCTCAGATGTGGTGCCTTCATCTTCCACAAAGAGCGGAAACAGATAGATCACACGTCAGTATATGTACAAACCTCTTTGAATTTTAATTTAGGTTTTTATTTGTTTATACTACCGTGTAAAGGTTCAGGGTCAGTACGATTAAAGAAAAGATGAAAGAAATGAATCAGAAAGTCATTTATAATGTTACAAAAGATTTGTATTTCAACTAAACGCTGTTCTTTTGAAGTTTCTATTCATCAAGAAATTCTGGGGGAAAAAAGTGGGAAGTGTCACAGTTTCCAAAAACGTGTGTATATATATATATATATATATATAATATTATGTTTACCCATGTATTTGTTTTTCAGATTTATGGTGTGTCTCCTCATCCCTAATACAAGCAACCATTAAAGGGAGCTTCTCAGTCTAGAAATATATTTTATGGTGGACATGGAATGAAACAAAAAAAAATTATAACTGCACACAGACACTTAAACATGTATTTTCAGAGTCCCCCTTCCTCTTCTTTTCTCCTAAAGCCAAGCAATAAATATAACAATCTTTTATCTCCTTGTGAATGATAGAACATGTATATACGGAAAGGATGTTTACATCAAGCGCATGTATTGTTCTGTTTTTTCAGTCATTTATTTTGGTGTGTCGTTGTGATATAATTTTTTCCACAGTTAAAAAAAAAAATTATGCCATATACAATTTTTTTTCCCCTCTTTACTGGGGTTCTGGCTACAGTTTTCCTGTTCACAGAGATGACAGTCTGTTGCAGTTTGAGGATCTATTGAGACACTAGTGTACAGAGATGCCGTAGGTTATGAATTCATCGTTTACATCGTTGCCGTAGATGACCGTGATGATGTCTTTTTGAATGCTGTTGAATGTCTGTATAATGATACTAGTCAAAAAAGGTTTATATGGGAGGTGTTTTTCTTTGTAGTTTGTTTCCTGAAGTGCACTTACAAGGATGCTCTCGAAAATAACTGTAAAATAATATTGCTAACACTAAACGCCCCATATGCCCATTTATCACAAAAGCCTTGGAAAATAATCGAACAGCTTGTGTTGCACATGTTGCACTCTTAAAATGTTTTCCACTTGATTTTGGAGGTGAAATGAGAATTTTTTAGCTTAAGCTCAAGGTTTTAAATGTATTTTCAGAACCACTAGTAAATTGACAGGTGTTACATTATATGTGGTGGGCAAAGTCAGGATCTTTCACTTTAATTCACTTGTTTAAGGGCAACCACAACGTTGCTGTTTTGCTTATCATCAGGGCTCACTGTTTGATGCTTTAAAATCTTCTAATAGCTTTCATAGCTGATGATAGAATCCTAAATATGACCTTTAAACCCAACAGTGTCATGAAATGTTGAACAGATTCAGATCCTAGAGCGTTCTAAGATGTTGTGTACTAGTCATTGTGACAGGACGGTATTTTCAAGAAGGGATTTTTACTTAAAATATAAAACAACTTGTTTTGTTAGTTTGGAATGTTCTGTTCTTAAAATCTTTATTCAAATAAAGGTGTAATGATGATAGGGGCACAAGTATATTATATTTTGGGTGTGTGTTTACAGAGAATGATAGTAGGCCTAGTTCATAAACTATTTATTAAATTCAGACCATTAGAACTGATTAGTCTATCTCTATGTATTGTGAGATTAAGCTATCAAAATTACACATACCAATAATCCAAGTATAAATAATCATTTCTGTGCTGTATCATAATTTCCATGGCGTTTATATGCTGGGATTAGGCTAATGTATGTTAAGGCTAAATTTGATTATTTTACATAAATTAAAGTAAAAAAAAAAACTCAAAACCTACTTTAAGCTAATTTTGAGTCATTGTATTTGGTCTATTCATATGACTAAACGATCTGTCCTTTATTTACACTTTCATATCTTACATATTTACCATAAATGTACATGCAGTATAATACTATAAACAAGAAAATGTTGCTCCCCATAGATGAGGGACAAAATAGCCTAGTACAAAATATAATGCATATTTGATGCATTTTATTCAAATGTCAGCACACAGACACTCAGTTCCTCTACAAGAACAGGAACAAAACTACTGAAAGGATGAAAAAAAATGTTACATCACAATCACAAAATCACAATATACCACAAACAGAAAATAAATACCACTCTAAAGTCCTAATACAAGATCAGGTCGAGCTGGCCGACAAACTGATTCCCAAAGCAAACCAAAAGTAAGAATCCGTATTTTGCTGAGCACTATGTGGACGCTGAACATTCATTTTCAGGTCACAGAGAGCTAGAAGTATCGCTAGATCTTTCACTAGATCATAAGACTTTCACATTTTTTCAGATATTATGCAGTATGTTTAGTAGTATGTTTAGCATGTAGTACTTATGTAGCATGTTTAGTTCCTGAACAGCAGCAGAGAGAAACACAAACTCAAACTACGGTACAAATCCCATTCAGTGACCTGTCGGCTGAAACACAAGCACATGGCTGTACATGTTCATATTTATTGACAGACAGTCTGCATTGTTTGAGCACCTTGTTTGCGTTTACAAACCTCTGAGAGTCTGCTCTGCCACAAACCAACTTTGGGTTATTTACAAATCAAAATTTTAGTGATAAGTATTCAAGACCTTAATTTGAAATTCTTTACATCACTGATATGGGTATATGGTATGATTACTTCATATTTTGTTTCTTTGCAACTGAATTTTAGTTACAAATGAATGTAGAAATAGACAGCAAAAGGAATGCAATTCGTTCTGTAAACTTAGTATCTCAGCACAATAATCTATGAGACTGATCTGATGTTCTTCATATCACTGACAGCCAGCAGATGGCAGATTTATCTTTTAAACCGATTACAGTTATGCAACGTGACACATACATTCTTTTAAATAAATTACATTTTTTAAATAAAATATTTAGCAAAACTGAGAAAAAATAAGATTTCCAAAACTTAATACATCCAACAGTAATGAAAGCAGATTCTATGAACATAAGAGTAAATTGGAAATATATGCATATGATTAAACTATATGCATATATGTGACCCTGGACCACAAAACCAGTCTTAAGTGTAAATTTTTCAAAATTGAGATTTATACATCATCTGAAAGTTGAATAAATAAGCTTTCCATTGATGTATG